ACTCCATCATGCGGTACACTCAGGTCTCGAACTGCTGAACTACCAACCTTTTGGTCTGCAGCTCAATGTCTTAACCTCTAAGCCACCGCAGTAGAAGTACTTGCTTGTGATTACTGTAGAAAACAGTAAGTGTCCAATAGCACCTTCTGAAGAAGTGAGCAGTGACTCACAAAAGTTCCTACCCTACCACAAATTTTGTTAGTCTTTAAGATGCTATTGGACTTTTACTCTTTTCTGCTGCCACAGACTGACTAACATGGCTACCCATCTTGATCTACTACTGTTACTGTTACTAATTGTATAGCTTGGCTCTTACACCACCTGGCCCAGAGTCCTTGTCCTGTCAAAGAGTACATTTTTATGTCACTGGAAACATGTAGGGGGTGTGGGGGGGGAGAGAATAAATGACACTGCACCCGACCTCCCCATCTCAGCACAAGAAGCTTGAGAGAGGTAAACTGCAGGACAGTTGTACATTATGTTGTCTGTGCCATTCCCTGGCACAAGCCCTGTGCACTTAATATAAAAAAAGATCAAGTATAAAGGGATCTGGCATATTTTTTTTTCAGCAGCCTCTGTGGAAGGCTAATAAGGAAAGACCCATACAATTCCATCCATTCATTCTCCATTTACAATCCAGAGATCAAGCAACGAACGACAGAGTCTGCATCAAGTATATACAGCATATAGACGTAAACATTTTTAAAAGCCCCAATTTAAAAACCTTCCTATACTTGCTAGGTGTTGATAGACTGAGTTATCAGCTTCCTTGTGAATAATTCTCTGGGACAAAGTTTCGAATGTAATTTCTACCGCCAGATAGAGGCGTACACAAGCTCTAACGGTTTGGAGACATGTATCCCAAATTGGTTGTTTTATTATTTCTTTGGCTCCCAAGGGCCCAAGGTGGCAAATTGCTGAGGGGGAAAAGTCGTATAGTTGTAGTTTGTTTTTGATGGTGACCACCCAATCTGAGTGGTAGGTATCTAGAAGGATTAAGGGGGCTAATCCATTAGATTAAAGTTTATCTTAAACCAAAGGCATATTGCCAGATACCAGCTGTGTACCTCTAGCAATACTTTCCCCGACTTCAGTTTGGTGTACTGGTTAGGAGCATGGGCTATCTAATCTGGGAGAACCGGGTTTGATTCCCCACTCCTCTACATGCAGCTGCTGTCGTGTCCTTGGGTCAGTTACAGTTCACTCAGAGCTGTTCTCGAAAGAGTAGTTTCTATCAGAGCTCTCTCAGCCCCACCTACCTCACAGGGTGTCTGTTGTGGGGAGGGGAAGAGAAAGGAGATTGTAAGCCACTCTGAGACTCCTTTGGGTAGTGAAGGGCGGGGTATAAATCCAATCTCTTCTTTTCCTCTATTTTAAGGATTGCATTTGGTGCACAGTGAGGGACACTAAATATATTCCTTAGGAATCTGGACCATATGGCTTCTAGGGGGTGCGTGTCTTTATAGAAACAAATTTGCCCACACAAAGCAAACCAGGGGACCAAGCTGTACAATGGTCTGTGCATTTCCCCAAACAGCAGACTAGTGATTGGCTCTGTGTAGTTGCACTGATACGTTAGCAGAGAAAGTCTTTTTAGGGCTAGTTGTATTTCAATGAAGTGAGCTGCCTACATTGGGGAAGCCAGTACCTGTGGTCAAGTAAGCTATCAGATGAAACGGTAACTCCACAGTAGTGTGTGTGGGGGGGACACATGCACATCCCTTTACATGTATCATGATGCAACCTGCATACACGGAGAACAAGGAAGGGGGGAAAGTGAGCAATTCCTTTTGAAGCTAATGCTATCTGGTGTTCATGAAAGTTGTGGTATTCCCTTCTGAGATCTGAACCGTGATCAAATGGATGGTTACAGGATGTTCATATTGATTATTTTACATCAGAAGGATGTGTTTTCCAGACAGTTCACAAAGATTCTTGCTGCTACCCATAGGGGTTGTATAGATATGTCAAGCCACCCAAGATTCCAAGCTGAAAACCTGTTTCTTCAAGTAAAAATAAGCAGTACAGACTATAAAACAGTGATGCCTTTTGAGAGCTTTGGCCAAGAGAGGCTCAAGGCTCCTGCCCCCTTGTCCAGCTTCTCCTGGTGGTCATAGGGTTGCCAACCTCCAGGCGGTTGCTGGAGATCTTCCGCTGTTACGACTGATATCTGGGCAAGAGAGATCAGTTCCCCTACTGAAAATGGCTACTTTGGAAGGTGGACACTATGGCATTATACCCTGTTGAAGTCTCTCCCCAAACCGTGCTCTCCTCAGGCTCCCCCCCAAAAAAAATCTCCAGGTATTCCCCAACCTGGAACTGGCAACCCTATGTTTTGAAGGGGGATCTTCTGTGCCTCACTCTCTACACCAGCCCTTACCCCATTTCTGTTCCCCTCCTCCCTTTAGCCCCATTGTTTATTTTATTATAATGATTTATGTGGAGCTCCTCAGCCATCAGAGGTAGCGAAAAGCAATACAAACTCTTAATGATACTCCGAAAAACAATTTAAAAGACTGGAACAAAACAAGATTGGAGTCACAAAATAAGCGGAACACTGCTAAAACAAAATCTGTTTCCCAAAGGGGAGAAGGTACAGAGGAGGGATAGAAAGCCATAAATGAAGGTGGTTAACACAAATCAAGTCAGATTGGGTTGCTACCTGTGGCTTGGGAAATTCCTGGAGATTTGGAGGTGGAACCTGGGGGATGTGGGGTTTCGGGAAGAGAGGGATTTCTATGGGATACAATGTCACAGAGTCCACCCTTCAAAGCAGCCATTATCTCCAGGGTGACTGATCTCTGTCGTATGGAGATCAGCTCTAATTCCGAGAGATCTCCAGTCCTCACCTAGAGGATACAACAAAGAAAAAATAAAACCATGACAAAATAGTGGGCAAAAATGGATATTAGACTGAATACAATTGTACTGCACAGTTATAAGAGGTTTTTGTGAAAATAGAATTAAAGTGTATAAATCACTATTGTATACAAATGATGGTCTATAATTCTCTATGATTGATGAGTTTCTGGTATACAATAATCAAAAACAGACTAGGCAAAAATGGATATTAGACTGAATACAATTGTACTGCACAGTTATAAGAGGTTTTTGTGAAAATAGAATTAAAGTGTATACATCGCTGTTGTATACAAATGATGGTCTATAATTCTCTATGATTGATGAGTTTCTGGTATACAATAATCAAAAACAGACTATTCCACCACAAACAAAATGTAAGATCCAAGTCCAAATCAACTTTCAAAAGTCTGTTATTATATTAGCCTAAATCTCCAGGTGTTCTTAATTGCACTTGCTCAACTTTTAAGTTGCAAAAACCCAGCTGCTCTCAAAAGTACTTGCCCAATGGCAGGCTGCCAGCTTGAGCCAATTTCGGAGCTCACCCTTTTTCAGAGTTGGAATAGCTTGGACAACTTAATTTTAAGGACCTTTGGAAAGGATTTCATCCATTTCAAAGCCAATATTGGAAGCTTCGTATCCGAATCCAAAGTGAACCTCCAATCATGGGCAAGTACTTTTAAGAACAGCTATTAGAGGTAAGAGGGATTCTGATATCCTTTGAATGAATGCAGATGCATTTTGAGCAGCCATTAAAGTATTGTTTGTGTGGATTGGAGATACTTTCTGGAGAGAAGTTTTTGCCAGGCGTGTAGCTATAGTGGGGCCTCTCGAGGCCCGGCCCCACCACTTAACACCAAGGCCCCATGACTTCCAATCCAGCCTAGGCCCCCCGACTTCCCATTTAAAATTTTATTAATGGCGTTCATCACTGCCCGTGGCCACTCCCTGTCACCGGCCACAGCCACTCTCTTTTGTTGTCAGCAAGCCGGCAAAACATCAAGCCCCATGTCGCCCTCTGATCCCACGCCACTCTCTCTAGGCTGGAGGAGGAGGAAGAGGAGCAGACGCCAGGGTGGTGGGGGGGAGGAACTGCGGCAGCAGCAGGTGGACAACGAAAGCAGCCTTGGCTCCCCTGCCAAAAGGATGCCTGGCTGGTTGCAGGGAAGGGTGGGAGTAGGGTTGCCAAGTCGTTTCTCAGCCGCAGCGGGGGACTCCCGGGCGGCAACTGATCAGTCGCAGTGGGGGACTCCCGGGCGGAGTTTTCCCTCTGATCGTCGTGTGCCCGGCGTCCTAACGTCACTTTCTGGTGACGCGCACATCGGGATGGGGTTCCCCCCGGGGCCCAATCCGCCAGCGGCGGGGAATGGGCCTCTGGGGTGGGCGTTTCCCCACCCCCCGGGGGGACTTGGCAAGCCTAGGCGGGAGAGGGGCTGCTTACTTGAAGAGTGTGTCCCTCGCTCCTCGGACGCGTCTCCCCGGGGTTTTCAAAAGCCCCCCCCCCCGAATTAAAAAATCCTGGCTACAGGCCTGGATTTTGCCTTTTGGGGAGGGATGAAAATGGTTAAATATTCATTGCGAATGAAGGTTCAACAGAGCCTGGTGGGAAAAGAGACCCCCCCCCAAAAAAAAATCTGTCAAATACTGGGATTGGAGGGTGACTGAACTGATCTTTACCCTTACGGGAGATTCCCAAGATCTAGCTTGTTGGCAATTTAGTAATGGTCTTATTTTAAAAAAATGAACAGATGATCCTTGATATTAGTAGCTTCCTAATAGGCAGAAATCATCAATTTCTTTCTTTCTTTCTTTCTTTCTTTCTTTCTTTCTTTCTTTCTTTCTTTCTTTCTTTCTTTCTTCTTTCTTTCTTTCTTTCTTTCTTTCTTTCTTTCTTTCTTTCTTTCTTTCTTTCTTTCTTTCTTTCTGCATCCAGTTGATAGGTAGAAAAAGTCAACAGATGCAGCATTTCCAGTCACACTTAGCATCTGCCGATATAAAGGTGTCAGTCGTACAACTTTACAAAAAATACTAATCTAAGCACCGTAATCCATTCAAAAATGGTTCTCCCCGTCCCCTTTCTTTTTATTGCCTAATTCAAATGGCTGCTTCAGTAACAGGTTATGTTTTCTCTTTTCTTTCAGAGCCCCTGAAATCATCCTCGGTTTACCCTTCTGCGAAGCGATTGACATGTGGTCGCTGGGTTGTGTCATTGCAGAACTGTTCTTGGGCTGGCCTTTATATCCAGGAGCTTCAGAATATGATCAGGTTGGTAGTGTGGCCTCTCTTCTGAAACTCTTCTGTTAACCTTCTTTGCTTTGCTCTTCCTAGCTAATGTGAAACCTCCTTGTTCAGTGACCACGGAGACTACTTTTTCATTATCTTTCTGTAGCATCCTAGAAATGCTAAGTACACAAATAAGATATCTTGTTGCTTAACCAGCTTGCATGTGCATACAACAGTTTGTAGGAAACAGCCGATGCATGTTCACTTCACAAATGAAACCAGGGGTTTGTACCTGGGATTTAAATCATTGAGCTGTACATGCATTGAGCATAACATTTAAATTATCAGGGCTCTTTTTGTAGAAAAAGCCCAGCAGGAACTCATTAGCATAATAGGCCACACCCAACAGCAGAAACTCTTTAGCATATTAGGCCACACCCCTGACAGCACAGCTCATTAGCACATTAGGCCACACCCCCATGTTACCAGAAGTGTGGTTATCCAGCCACACCCACCTTTTGCTTGTTATTCTGTTTACCCTGTCTGTTGTCAAAACCCAGGGCTTTTTTGTAGCAGGAACTCCTTTGCATGTTAGGCCACACACTCCTAATGAGTTTCTGCTGTTGGGTGTGACCTGTTATGCTAATGAGTTCCTGCTGGGCGTGGCCAACTTGGGAGCCAGCCGGAACTCCGTTCCTGTGCGTTCCTGCCCAAAAATAGCCCTGCATTTAATTCATTTATACTCCACCTTTCTCCTCAGTGGGGATCCAGAGCAGCTTACATTGTTCTCCTCTCCTCCATTTTATCCTCACAACAATCCTGTGAGGTATGTTAGGCTGAGAGAGTATGACTGGCCTAGTGAACTTCCGTGGCATGAGTGGGGATTCAAACTTGGGTCTTCCAGTTTGTAGTCTGACACTCTTAACCATTACAGCACACTGCCTCTCAGTACTCTTTAATAAGGGTGTCCTGCAGCTGTTCTGTTGGGATTTCTCAACATGAGCATTATTCAATGCATGAATTAAGAAAAATCAAGTCTATACTGTACACTGACTGCATGTGCGTTCCTATAACTTGTGGACAGGCCTTGTATCCCTGGGTGGATGCTCCTCCCCACCACCACCCTTGGAGATGTAACACCTCCCTCTGGAATGACCAGCACATCTGGTTGCTTGGGAAGCCGGGAAGTTTTGGCTTTCAAAAATGATAGGCCCTGACCCTGAAAACATCTTGCTCAGACAAATCCTCTTAAAATTAATGTTTGGGGATCAAAGCCAACATTGTAAAAAGCTCTTTTACCAATAAAGCACACCCTGAAGGCGCACACACATTCTTTTTTTACCTTTAGCATAATTCCTTTATCTTTACAGTCTGTGGATTCGCAAGATCTGTGATGTATGTTCATAAGCTTCAAAGGCTGATGGAGGGGTACCGTGGAGTTTTTAACTGCAAAAGGAAAGACAAATTGTTTAACGCGCAATTATTAAAATTCTTAATAAACAGTATGAATTGTTAAAATATGGAACTTTGCCTTCCTTTTCAGCCCTTGATGTGCAAAGAACTATCCACCCTTTCATTCCGTTTCCTTTCTTCCTTGGTTGGAAATGCCTTGTTCCCCATCTGAAAGGATGCCTCCTACAGATCCCTCCAGGATGAGCACTGACCTCCTCCTTCTTTTATAGATCCGATACATTTCACAGACCCAGGGCTTGCCGGCGGAGTATCTGTTAAGTGCAGGGACGAAGACAACGAGGTTCTTCAACAGGGATACAGACTCACCGTATCCACTGTGGAGGCTAAAGGTAGGGAAGTTTCCCCTCGTTTTCTTCTTGCAGTTCTGAAATCTTGCTGATGAACTTATTGAAATGGTGAGAATGGGGTGAGGTACAGCTGATATAAGAACATCATGAACTTCATGAGCTCGAGGGTATAGCCTTGGCGCGCACTTGGGCAGCACCTTCCAAATCTTGGCCATCTTAAAAATTGGAATTGGAGTCATGGAAAGGCCTTCATGAAGTTGACATTCCTCCCTCCTCAGCCTCCTTGCTAGAAGATATTCCTCTATGGGTGCTTCATGACCTCATCATGTGCAGGATGGGACAGAATCCATAAAGATCCTCAGCTGTCTCAAGATGAAGGTTCAGCCCTAAGCCAAGGTTTGGCCCAATGAGTTGAACGTATGAAGAGCCCTGTTGGATCTTGTCCCGTAGTTTCCACAGTAGCCGGCAAGGTAGCCCATTAAGGCCCTCTAGCAGGGGCACAGGCTCTCCCTGTTGTTGCCCCCACTCCCATGTATTCACTGGCATGGTTTAGTCCTGGATGTGATGTCATGCTGAAGAATAGGCTCCCTGTGAACTTTAGGAGTGTGTTTCCTTAGTCACTTGGTAACCACTTCCCTCCCACAACACATAGAATCAGGAACAAGAGCCCTGTAAAACAGGCCCTCGTTACACTTTACATATTACAGTATGGAGAAACTATTCCCATATGAGAGACTGGGGACTGAAAAGGCTGAAGCTAAGAGGCACATTAGTGAATTCATGATGGAGAGGACATTTACACTGGGGACCTCTTGGCTCGGAGCTCATTCTGTTAACCAGCACACTATCCCTGGGATAACATTATGAGGGGAAAGATGCGGTTGCACCAACCATCAGCCATGTAGCACTCCCAGTGCAGTGACTAGGTTGATCCATCCCATGATGATGTCCGCACAATAATGGCAACAAACCCTGACATAAAATAGATCAAGAGCGGTAGCTGTGTTAGTCTGTCTAGCAGTAGAAGCACCTGGAAGACTAACAAAATTTGTGGCGCCAGGGTATGAGCTTTCATGAGTCATTGCCATCTGATGTTCCCTCTAAGCTGTGGAGTCTTGTGAGCAAAAATTCTACTTTGTGAGCTACTGGCATTAAAGTTGTGAGCGAGCGATTTAGTTTGCTTTGGAGTCATCCTTCCTGAGCTAAGACAAAAATGTGTGAGCCGGAGGCTAAAAAACTGCGAGCTAGCTCACACTAACTCAGCTTAGAGGGAACACTGGCAGTGACTCACGAAAGCCCATCCCCAGCCACAAATCTTGTTAGTCTTTAAGGTGTTACTGGACTCTTGCTCTTTTCTACTGGCACAAAAGTTTAAAACTAAGACCCCCAAGTTGCTACACTTGCAGCTTACTTCTGGTGAAGATTCAGCAATGGGTTGAAAAGACTTTCAGACCTTTGCAATTTCACATGAGGTGGGATAAAATTATATGGTGAAAAGGCAATATTGGAGCTGGTCCTAAAGGGATAACAGCTTTTGTGGTGCCTATTTGAAGTAGCAATGAATGTTTTGTTGATTTATGTAGATATCAAGGTGACTATTGGTAACTTTTTTTCTTTATTCTGTACAGACACCAGATGATCATGAGGCAGAGACAGGGATCAAGTCAAAGGAAGCGAGAAAGTATATTTTCAATTGTTTGGATGATATGGCACAGGTAAGGTTGTTACAGTTGTCAGCGTGTAGCCTACTTTATAGGGTTGTTGTGAAAACACAGTGAACACACGTACAATGTCCTGAGCTCCTTGGAGGAAAGCTGGGATAAAATTGAAGTAAACAGTTGAAAAAAAGCTATTGCATTAGGCAGAACTCATTAGCTGATTGATTAGACATTAATTAGAATTAATGACTCCATCTTTAAAGCGAAATCTGGCTTAGTACTTTACCCACTTTTGTACATTATTTGGCACTCTGCAAGTGAAGACTAATTGACTTTGAGAGCTTGCAGTGACCCGTGATCATTGTAGCACCTTATCTTAACTCCAGCGCTTGAAGTTGCCCAGAAAGTAGATGGAGGCCCCGGTACACTCTGCAAGTGAAGACTAATTGACTTTGGGAGCTTGCAGTGACCCGTGATCCTTGTAGCACCTTATCTTAACTCCAGTGCTTGAAGTTGCCCAGAAAGTAGATTGAGGCCCTGGTCACACAAGAGGTTTTGGGCCGGGAGAGGGACGGATCGGGGCCGCAGCAAATGGGCGCGATCCCACAGCAACATCTGGGAAGCATGGCGCGCCTGTTCCCGATCTAACATTACTGTGCTATAATAATCTGATGTGTGTATTGTTGTGGGGGAAATGGGCACTGTGGAGGGTGAGATGAGGAAAGTGACACCGATGTGGGTGGCACCTGCAACAACGCACACCTTTCCATCCACAATGTCCAAAAGCATTTTGACTGCAATCTTTCTAAGGTCCCTGCCACACGGCAGGAAACCTAACCGGCAGTGCGGCTTTTAAAAGCCGCACTTTGCCCGTTTTTTTCCCTGCCGTGTGGCAGGGACCTGAGAGAATCATAAGAACATAGCAAAATAAGAAGAGTCTTGCTGGGTCAGGCTAATAACCCATCCAGTTCAATGGAAGTAGAACGGCTACTGACCCAGTTTTTCCTTTCAGGTGAACATGACAACAGACTTGGAAGGAAGTGATATGTTGGTGGAAAAGGCAGACCGGCGGGAGTTCATAGACCTGTTAAAGAAGATGTTGACGATAGATGCAGACAAGAGGATAACGCCAATTGAAACGCTCAACCACCCATTTGTCACCATGACACACCTGCTTGATTTCCCCCATAGCACACAGTACGCTTATTTCTTTCTACTTTGTGTCAGAGGTTCTAGAAAAGGAATTATCTGTGAGATGGAAAGATGTGGGTTGGCAAACTGCCAAATGTACATTGGGTTGATCTCTCTTTCTGCTACAAAGACTTGGGCATTTGAGTTGCAACAAAGTAGACTGAGCTGAGAGACCAGGAGAGCGGTT